TTACCTTTATTGAAGATCTGGTGATGAATGATGGGATCGGAGGAGGGAAGAGTGGTGATGGTGTTAGTGTTTAGAAGGGGAATCCCCTTCCATTAGGACTTGAGGTGGCACGTCCTTTTCCGGGGTTACTTCCCTTCTTCTTTTAATGCCACTAGGACCAGCTTGAGTCACTGGACCTCTGCCGCACAGCATATTTGTCCATAGAATGGCCTGTACCTCCCGTTCCTTTATGACATTCCTAAAGTGTTTCACAACACTGTCAGTGTACAGGTTGCCAACACAGCTTGCAATAGCTGTGTGAGGGTGATTTTCATCAAAAAAGGTTTGCACATTAAGCCACATTGCACACATTTCCTTAATCTTTGAAGTAGACAACTTCCTCAATTTCTCTGTCCCCTCCTCCGAAGCAGTTTCCTCAGGTGTGGCCTCTTGCTGTTAAAGATGATCTAGCAGCTCATCAGTGGTTAGTTCTTCATTGTCCTCCTCCACCAACTCTTCCACATCCTCCCCACTAACCTCCAACCCCAAGAACATCCCCAATGCCACAATGGATTCCTCAACTGGCATAGGATTCCCAGGGTTAGCCTCAAACCCTTCAAAATCCCTTTTGTCTACACATTCTGGCCACAGTTTCTTCCAAGCGGAGTTCAAGGTCCTCTTAGTCACTTCCTCCCAAGCCTTACCTATAATGTTTACACAATTGAGGATGCTAAAGTGATCTCTCCAAAACTCTCTTAGTCAATTGAGTTTCTGAGGTCACTACAAAGCACCTTTCAAACATAGCTTTTGTGTACAGTTTCTTGAAGTTGGAAATGACCTGCTGGTCCATGGGCTGCAGGAGAGGAGCGGTATTAGGAGGCAAAAACTTCACCTTAATGAAGCTCATTTACGCAGAAAGTCGCTCTGCCACATCTGAAGGATGACCAGGAGCATTGTCTAATACCAGGAGGCACTTAAGGTCTAATTTCTTTTCATTTAGGTAATTTTTCACATTGGGGGCAAATGCATGGTGTAACCAGTCATAGAAAAAGTCCCTAGTGACCCATGCCTTACTGTTTGCCCTCCACAGCACACACAAATTAGCCTTGAGGACATTGTTTTTCCTGAACACACTGGGAGTTTCAGAGTGATACACCAATAAAGGCTTCACTTTACAATCACCACTAGCATTGGCACGCATCAACAGAGTAAGCCTGTCTTTCATAGGCTTATGTCCTGGGAGTGCCTTTTCCTCCTGAGAAATATACGTCCTGTTTGGCATTTTCTTCCAAAACAGGCCTGTTTCGTCACAATTAAACACTTGTTCAGGTTTCAGTCCTTCACTGTCTATGTACTCCTTGAATTCCTGCACATATTTTTCAGCCGCTTTGTGGTCCGAACTGGCAGCCTCACCATGCCTTATCACACTATGTATGCCACTACGATTCTTAAATCTCTCAAACCAACCTTTGCTGGCCTTAAATTCACTCACATCATCACTAGTTGCAGGCATTTTTCTAATTAAATCGTCATGCAACTTCCTAGCCTTTTCACATATGATCGCTTGAGAGATGCTATCTCCTGCTATCTGTTTTTTGTTTATCCACACCAGTAACAGTCTCTCAACATCTTCTATCACTTGCGATCTCTGTTTCAAAAACAAAGTTGCATCTTTGGCAAGAACAGCTTCCTTGATTGCCGTTTTCTTGGCCACAATTGTAGCGATGGTTGATTGGGGTTTTGCGTACAACCTGGCCAGCTCAGACACACTCCACTTTCATACTTAGCAATGATCCCTTTCTTCATATCCATAGTAATTCTCACTCTTTTTGCTGTAGGGTTGGCACTAGAAACTTTCTTGGGGCCCATGGTAACTTATTTTGCAGGTGCAGTCACTAAAAAGGCTGTGATAATATGAAATGTTCAGATTGTATGCTTGGAAGCGACCGCGGTGGCTGGCTTGTAAACACTGGCACCCACAGAACAAGTGAGGTGGACTCAGGCCACATGTGGATGCGTCTCGAACGAACCGCGTTGAGTGAGTTTTTTAGCGCTAGCCGAGGCAAAATTTTTGTGTTAAAATGTATCACTAGGCAGATTTAAAGTTATGCGATGCGTTAGTTAGGCGAGGTTCCACTGTACAATTAATCTGTTCCAGACGGCCAAAAATATTAGCAAAAAATACATTTTTTAAAGATTAACTATAGTTTTACATACAGAAAACAATGAGAAATAAATATAAAGCCAAAATTTTAATAACTGCACATTACATAACTTTATTGAAGACTCTTGTTGGCATATTGAAGAAGGCGAGGAGGGGAGAAAGGAGAGCTTATTGTTTGGAAGGGGAATCCCCTCCATAAGGACTTCGGGTATCAAGTCCCTCTATAGGGTTACTTCCCTTCTTTGTTTTTTTTTACTGGCACTAGGACCAGCTTGAGAGTCACTGCACCCCTGTTGCACAAAAAAACTCTTGAGAGAGGTCTGTTTCTGGCACCTCTTTAAGATTTGCCTGAGGTGGGACAAGGTTTTGTCACTGAAGATGTTGCAGATATGGCTTGTTTGAGCTTGGTCAGGGTGATATTTCTCCACAAAACTTTACACCTCCCTTCACATTGCACCGTTGTTCTTAATCACTGAAGAAGGCACATTCTTTACTCTCTCTTCCTCCTCCTCCTCCTGGAGCAATTTCCTCAGCTGTGGGGTGTTGCTGTTGCAGATGAAGGTCTTGGAGCTCTTCAGTGGTTAGCTTTTCCTTGTGGTCCTCCACCAACTCTTCCACATCCTTGCCACTCACGTCCAACCCCATGGACTCCCCAAAGCCACAATAGATTCCACAACAGGCAGAGGGTCAACAGAGTTAGAGTCAGCCTCAAACCCTTCAAAATCCTCCTCTAGGACAAATTCTGGCCACAGTTTTCTCCAAGCCGAGTTCAAAGTCCTGGAAGTCACTCCCTGCCAAGCCTTACCTATAAGGCTTATGCAGTGGAGGATATTGAAGTGATTCCTCCAGAACTCTCTTAGGGTCAAGTCAGTGTCTGAGGTCACTTCAAAGCACTTTTGAAACATTGCTTTCGTGTAGAGTTTTTGAAGATAGAAATGACCTGCTGGTCCATGGGCTGGATGAGAGGAGTGATGTTAGGAGGCATGAACTTCACTGTTATAAAACTTAACTCCATAGACAATTGGTCTACCAAGTTTGGAGGATGAGCTGGAGCATTGTCCAGGACCAGGAGGCACTTGAGTGGCAATTTATTTACCTGAAGGTATTTTTTCACACTCGGGCCAAACACTTCATGAACCCAGTCAATGAAAATCTGCCTTGTGACCCATGCATTATTAACTTTCCACAACACACACAATTTACTCTTGCTGACATTGTTTTTCTTGAACACACTGGGATTTTCAAAGTGATACACCAGTAAAGGCTTCACTTTGAAATCCCCACTAGCAATACCACAGAACAGAAGAGTAAGCCTATCCTTCATAAGCTTGTGTCCTGGCAGTGCCTATTCCTCCTGTGTGATGTAGGTCCTCTTTGGCATTCTCTTCCAAAAGAGGCCTGTTTTGTCACAATTGAACACTTGTTGGGGGAGGAATCCTTCAGCCTCTGTGTAATCCTTGAATTCATGCATGAATTCTTCAGCTGCACGTTTGTTTGAATTTGCACCCTCACCATGCCTTACAACACGGTGTATGCCACTATGCTTCTTGAATCTGCCAAACCAGCCTCTGCTGGCCTTAAATTCACTAACAGCAGCACTCGTTCCAGGCATTTTCTTTGAGATCCGCATGCAACTGCCTTGCCTTTTCACAAATGAATGACTCCACAACACTATCTCTCACTAATTGTTTATCATTGATCCACACCAACAGTAACTTCTCCACATCTTTAATTATTGATGATCCTTGTTTCGTTAGCATACTATTTACCCCTTTTGCAATATTGGCTTCCTTGACTTCTACTTTTTTTGCTAGGATGGTAGTGATTGCTGGTTTGGATTTCCCATACATCCTGGCCATCTTCAGGACACGTACACCACTTTCGTACTTTGCTACAATTTCTTTCTTGAATTCAATCATGTTTCTCACTTTCTTTACCAAAGGGCTGGCACTAGGAATTTTCTTTGGGCCCATGGTGGCTTATTTCACAGTCGCACTCAATAAACAGCCACAAAAAACAAGGGATTATAATGAAATGTTTGGATGAATGTGTGGAATGTTGCTCACTCGCCCAGAGACACAGCCAGCCAGACTGACTCAAGGACACGGGGGAATGGCGGGTGGATGCGTCCAATTCAGCTGATTTCCGAGTTTCCAGCTGAAATCCAGGACAGAATTTCAGCCAAAAAAGCAGCCAAAATCCGATACGGCCGATATCCACATTGGCCGATATCTAGGGTTCCATTGTACTTAGGTTAAGATTTGACTTTGATGTTATAATAATATTCTAAGCAAATGCTAATAATGCATAGGTTTGTGGAAGGCTAAAGCTATTAACTTGAATTAATGTTTTTATACTGAAAGTTAACATTCTTTTCTCTTGCATTATGTAATACACTACTACTCTTCATTAGTTTTTACATGAAGTGCTTACAATATACAGCCTCTCCTCACTTAGCGACGTACTCGTTTACCAACGACTCAGACTTACAACGGGCTCTCTGACCAGTATGCATACCTAAATAATGTATATTAGAGCTGGTTTCCTCTATTCTGTTTATTAAAATATACAGTACACTGCCGTATAAACATTTAAAAATATACCAGAAATGTTTTAAATGGTGCAAAGGTGCCATTAAAACATTATCAAAGATGGTTGACTCACACCCACTACCATTATAGTATGCTCCTCACTTAGCAACAAATTCGTTTATCAATGTGGTCTTAGGAACGGAACTCTGTTGTTAAGTGAGGAGAAGCTGTAACAGATCATATCACACTAGGATAAGTTTTAGCTCAAATTTTTTATCTGATATGCTGTAGTACATTTATTCCAGCAGTAATATGTTTCTTACCAGTCTATGGAGGTATGTGGGAACTTAACTCTGCAACACCACATGCTCTCACCCGTGCAGCGCATTCCCCGATATGAAATGCTTCTGCGAGACTACTTGAAGAAACTTCCAGAGGACTCACCAGATCGCCATGATACGGAGAGTGAGTACTGAAATTTATTTTTAATTGCTTTTGTACTGAAGATTGCTTATCTTCAAGTCAGCATTACTTTAGAGTAGGTCACGAACATACATTTATACCCACGATATTGAAAATAATAGACTACATTTAAATAAAACAAAATAATGTTTTCTTTTTAACCCAACAGAAGCTCTACATTTAGTATCCACAGCAGCTAATCATGCAAATGATGCTATGAAAAAGATTGATAAGTTTGAGAAATTACTAGAGATTCAAGAAAGCCTTGGAGGTGCAGAAGATCTTGTGTCTCCCACAAGAGAACTCATTAAAGAAGGCAAAATCATCAAAATCTCGGCTAGATCTGGTGACCATCAAGAGAGATATATATTTTTGGTAAGGAATTTCAGTTTAACCTGAGGTGTTTAACAAAATATGTAATACTGTAGCATATCTGAGCATCAGATATGCTATATTTTTTTTTTTTCAACAAACCAGCCATTTCCCACCAAGGCAGGGTGGCCCAAAAAGAAAAACTGAAGTTTCTCTTTTTAAATTTAGTAATTTATACGGGAGAAGGGGTTACTATCCCCTTGCTCCCGGCATTTTAGTCGCCTCTTACAACATGCATGGCTTACGGAGGAAGAATTCTGTTCCACTTCCCCATGGAGATAAGAGGAAATAAAGAAGAACAAGAACTAGAAAGAAAATAGCAGAAAACCCAGAGGGGTGTGTATATATATGCTTGTACATGTATGTGTAGTGTGACCTAAGTGTAAGTAGAAGTAGCAAGACGTACCTGAAATCTTGCAAGTTTATGAGACAGAAAAAAGGACACCAGCAATACTACCATCATGTTAAACAATTACAGGCTTTCGTTTTACACTCACTTGGCAGGACGGTAGTACCTCCCTGGGTGGTTGCTGTCTACCAACCTACTACCTACCGATATGCTATATATGTCTATATATATATTGGCTCCCTCCCTCTCTTTTTGTGTTAGTGTAGCTTTATAAATGGACCAGATCAGACTGAAACATTGTTATAAACTTCTCTCTCCTATGTGTGGGTTGTTTGTGTATATTGTGGTAGGGTTCTGCATTCCCTGGTACAAAAAAAAAAAAAAATAAAATTGGGCATGGTTACCCATCTTTAGCTGTTCATTAAGACCAATCATCTCACCATTACAGTTAGTGAAAAATGTGGTAAAGGATTAGCACACAACCCACACATAGGAGAATGAAACTTATGACAATGTTTTGGTCCGACTTGGATCATTAACCATTAATGGTCCAAGTTGGACGTTAAGTGTCGCCATGAGTTTCATTCTCCTGTGTGTGAGTTATCTGTGTGTTGTTCCACTCATGGTATTCTGCCTTTTTATTCTCTAAAAGTGAGTGGTAGAAGACAGCAATGTACGAGATATTAATCCTGAAGGTTAACCCAGGATAACCCCAGAAAGATAAGCCATGTTGCATATTTCCATTGTGGTTCATAGTTCCTTCACTGAATATGGCACATAGGTTAACAAACTCCTAGGTAAAGTAAAAGGACAAAAGTGCAACTAAGGTGACATTTTATTGTGGCAATGTTTCGCTCTCCAGGAGCTTTTTCAAGCCGTTACAAACAATACATGGACACAGAGGGTATATATAGGCTTATATATACCCTCTGCTTTTTCTCCAAACTAATTGTTTGGAGAAAAAGCAGAGATCTAGATTAGGAGAGGTTTGAGTAATTACTTTAGTATAAATGTTAAGGTAAGACTTGTGAAGTCACAATCTGTCTAGCTCTGTATTATTTTTAATGTACATTGTAATGACTGATGTTACCTAAAAATTGCATATCATTTACAATGATTGTATCTTTTTGGAAGGGAATTTGGAAATCTGAGATGGTTTGAAAATTTACTTTATGAAAAGTTGTTGATTAATATAGTAATTAGTGTAATACAAAGATAAAATTTTATAGAATCCTCTTGGTTGTTGTCACATTAAATATAGCAGTTTTTGAAGGTTAGCATGACATCTGGAGAACTTTCTTTCAGCTTAAATTATAGTTATAGTAGGATTCCAGAGAAATGTTCCACAGTGAGGAATAACTACAGTCAAGATGTTTTTTCCCCCAAAAATATTAATTAATTTTGCTTTTGCCAGTACAAACTTACCATATTTTATGGCATCAAAGAAGCTATTTTTTTCCCCGAAATAAGTCTTGTAAATTTACTCAGGCTGAAGTACCGGTTATCTTTTTCCAAAAATTTAGCCAGTCAGAATTGTGGAAGCATCCACAACACTGGAGCATCTTGGAAATATAAACACATATGCAGTATAATGTGATCCTTTATTGACAACGTTTCGCCCACACAGTGGGCTTTTTCAAGTCACAAACAGAACTACCTGGGGTGGAAGGAACGCGAGTATATATAGTCAGGTTCAGAATGCTGAGGTCAGGTGGAGAATGCTGCATCTGATGATGTACCGAGTGGGGTTATAGAGTCTAAAATCTTGGGTAGCTTGGAAAGGAGATTGGACAAGTTTGTGAGCAGACCTTCTACAGTGTTCTTATGTGGGATAGCGATGAAGAAGCTTCTTGGCAAGTGGTTCAGCTATGTTATAGAAGCCACTATTCTGGTTGAAGTTGTCGGATATAGAAATAAGTGATGATTCCAGGATTCTTCGGTATTGAGTGTTGTCTTCTGTGGCGATAAGTCTTGAGTTTCTGTAGTTTATCAAGTGGTTGTGTGAATTACGGTGTTGTACGCAGGCATTCCTTGTATCGTCAGACCTGCTTGCGTATTGGTGTTCTGAAATACGTGTTTGGAGGTCCCTTGATGTTTCGCCAACGTATAACTTGTTGCAGTCATTACAAGGGATTATGTTTACCCCTGCAGAGGGTGGAAGCTTGTCCTGTCTATCACTGGTAATGTCCTTGATGGTCGTGGTTGTGGAGGTAGATACTTGAAATGAGGTATTGGAAAAGATGTTGGAAACGTGTTTGGCAATGGAGTTGGTGGGGAGGACTATGTATCTCTTCTCGGTAGTGTCTTCTCTGGGTGTGTTGAAGATGTTTAATGCCCATCGTCTGCAGTCTCTGATGAAGTGACGAGGATAGTGAAGTTTAGAAAATACTTGTTCAATCATCGTGCATTCTTCTTCAAGAAACTCATTGCTGCAGATTCTGAGTGCACGCAGGAAGAAGCCTATAATTACACAGCCTATAATTACAAAGTCTATCGAAAACCCACCAACCAAAACGATCTTCTCCACTTTTACTCTCACCACGACACCAAAACCAAACGTGGTGTAATTATAGGCTTCTTCCTGCGTGCACTCAGAATCTGCAGCAATGAGTTTCTTGAAGAAGAATGCACGATGATTGAACAAGTATTTTCTAAACTTCACTATCCTCGTCACTTCATCAGAGACTGCAGACGACGGGCATTAAACATCTTCAACACACCCAGAGAAGACACTACCGAGAAGAGATACATAGTCCTCCCCACCAACTCCATTGCCAAACACGTTTCCAACATCTTTTCCAATACATCATTCCAAGTATCTACCTCCACAACCACGACCATCAAGGACATTACCAGTGATAGACAGGACAAGCTTCCACCCTCTGCAGGGGTAAACATAATCCCTTGTAATGACTGCAACAAGTTATACGTTGGCGAAACATCAAGGGACCTCCAAACACGTATTTCAGAACACCAATACGCAAGCAGGTCTGACGATACAAGGAATGCCTGCGTACAACACCGTAATTCACACAACCACTTGATAAACTACAGAAACTCAAGACTTATCGCCACAGAAGACAACACTCAATACCGAAGAATCCTGGAATCATCACTTATTTCTATATCCGACAACTTCAACCAGAATAGTGGCTTCTATAACATAGCTGAACCACTTGCCAAGAAGCTTCTTCATCGCTATCCCACATAAGAACACTGTAGAAGGTCTGCTCACAAACTTGTCCAATCTCCTTTCCAAGCTACCCAAGATTTTAGACTCTATAACCCCACTCGGTACATCATCAGATGCAGCATTCTCCACCTGACCTCAGCATTCTGAACCTGACTATATATACTCGCGTTCCTTCCACCCCAGGTAGTTCTGTTTGTGACTTGAAAAAGCCCACTGTGTGGGCGAAACGTAGTCAATAAAGGATCACATTATACTGCATGTGTGTTTATATTTCCATTGTGTCGGTATTTTATACCATTTATTTCCACTGGAGCATCTTGTTTGCCATAAAATACAGTACGTTATTTATCTTTTAAAAGATTAACAGTTTTTTTTCCTTTTGTAGTTGACAGATTTATTGTTGTTGTGCTCACCACGGCTGATGGGAGGTCGAGTGATGAGTGGCCCTCAGTATCGTCTCCGTGCTAAGTACCATGTGGAGAATCTTATTGTGCAAGAGGGAGACAACCTCGAAACTGCTAACACTTTTTACATCAAAGACAGCAATAAATCTGTGGAACTTTACACACAGTAAGTTAACCCTTTAACTTTAGCATACCTTGAGTAAATTTCTTTGTGTGGGTGTGGGTGGGGTGGGTGGGGGGACAAGGTTTTGAAAAGAAAAAAGAAAAAGTGTCCGTATAGATTGAAAGATTGTATTTTTATGAATCAAATAAGGCTAAAATGAGTGGATTCTGATAAAATTTACAATTTTGTGCTGTGCTGAGAGTGGCTGTAAAAGGATCACTTGTTGAGAGCAGCAGTGTAAATGTGCCAGTGATATTTAGGTTTTACCATTTTTTTTTTAACACGTCAGCCATTTTTGAGGCAGGGTGACCCAAAAAAGAAAAACACTTTCACCATCATTCACACACAATCACTGTCTTTGCAGAGGTGTCCAGTTATGACAGTTTAGATGTCACTCCAAACAGCCAATATCCCAAACCCCTCCTTTAAAGTGCAGGCATTGTACTTCCCACCTCCAGGACTTAGATTATGATTATTTTTTTTTTTTTTTTTGTATTTTATGTTTAACACCATGTACAGTAATTCTTTTTATGACATTAGATGTGCTTCAAGGTGTTTTAGCACATTACATACTTCAAAATATAGGGAAATGCTTAGCATGATATTGCTTCCTTTGAATATACAGGTTAAACTGGTGCAAATAAATGTTTTGTATTCTGTTTTTTACTGCTTTGATCTTCTAACACTGTGTACAAGGAATACTTATATTACATTTGTTTCAAATTGTAATATTCCTTCAAATGTGAAAATAAGTCACATTGTTTGACTCTTGGATTATCCCAGGTTAGTAATTTTTATATACATACATGTATTTAGGTTTGAGGACATATCCTGGGTTATATAAACAATGTGGTTTTTGTGTGTCCCTTTAAGAACACTGTAAAACTATATATTTACAAGAAAATCTTCATATACTACAATTGTTTTAAGGTGTAATACTTGTCAGAATGTGGAAATAAGTGACATAGTTTGACTATATTCGGTTATCCTAGGTTAAATCTACATAGTGTATTTTTTGGTTGAATTCCACCATTAGTATCTTAAAATAATAATGAATTTTATAAGGCAATTTCCTGTCAGTTCCATACCCTGTTTGCTTGTAGGTTGCATTTACTTACAATAGTTATTCAGATGCACCTGTCTGGTCCCAGACTTTTTTCAAAGGCATGAAGAGGTTGTAGGAGATCCAAACAGTTGTGCTGAGGTTGAAAATATTGGCCGGGGGGCATTTTTGAAGCCACAAAATACAGTGGACCCTCAACCAGCGATATTAATCTGTTCCTGAGAGCTCATCGTTAATCGAAATAATCGTTAGTCAAGTTAATTTTCCCCATAAGAAATAATGGAAATCAAATTAATCCGTGCAAGACACCCCAAAGTATTGAAAAAAAAAATTTTACCACATGAAATATTAATTTTAATACACACAAACTGAAGAAGACATGCACAGTTACATGACACTTACCTTTATTGAAGATCTGGTGATGATCTTCTTAGTGTTTAGAAGGGGAATCCCCTTCCATTAGCACTTGAGGTAGCAAGTCTTTTTCTGGGGTTACTTCCCTTGTTCTTTTAATGCCACTAGGACCAGCTTCAGAGTCACTGGACTTCTGTCACACAACATATCTGTCCATAGATACCTGTACCTCTCATTCCTTTATGACTTTCCTAAAGTGGTTCACAACATTGTCAGTGTACAGGTTGCCAACACGGCTTGCAGTAGCTGTGTCAGGGTGAGTTTCATCAAAAAAGGTTTGCACTTCAAGCCACTTTGCACACATTTCCTTAATCTTAGAAGTAGGCAACTTCAATTTCTCTATCCCCTCCTCCGAAGCAGTTTCCTCAGGTGTGGCCTCTTGCTGTTGAAGATGATCTAGCAGCTCATCAGTGGTTAGTTCTTCATTGTCCTCCTCCACCAGCTCTTCCCCACTAACCTCCAACCCCAAGGACTTCCCCAATGCCACAATGGATTCCTCAACTGGCATAGGATTCTCAGGGTTAGCCTCAAACCCTTCAAAATCCCTTTTGTCTACACATTCTGACCACAGTTTTTTCCAAGCAGAGTTCAAGGTCCTCTTAGTCACTTCCTCCCAAGCCTTACCTATAATGTTTACACAATTGAGGATGGTAAAATGATCTTTCCAAAACTCTCTTAGAGTCAGTTGAGTTTCTGAGGTCACTACAAAGCACCTTTCAAACATAGCTTTTGTGTACAGTTTCTTGAAGTTGGAAATGACCTGCTGGTCCATGGACTGCAGGAGAGGAGTGGTATTAGGAGGCAAAAACTTCACCTTAATGAAGCTCATTTCCACAAAGTCGCTCTGCCACGTCTGAAGGATGACCAGGAACATTGTCTAATACCAGGAGGCACTTAAGGTCTAATTTCTTTTCAGTTAGGTAATTTTTCACATTGGGGGGAAATGCATGGTGTAACCAGTCATAGAAAAAGTCCCTAGTGACCCATGCCTTACTATTTGCCCTCCACAGCACACAAATTAGCCTTGATGACATTGTTTTTCCTGAACACTCTGGGAGTTTCAGAGTGATACACCAATAAAGGCTTCACTTTGCAATCACCACTAGCATTGGCACACATCAACAGAGTAAGCCTGTCTTTCATAGGCTTATGTCCTGGTAGTGCCTTTTCCTCCTGAGTAATGTACGTCCTGCTTGGCATTTTCTTCCAAAACAGGCCTGTTTCGTCACAAACACTTGTTCAGGTTTCAGTCCTTCACTGTCTATGTACTCCTTGAATTCCTGCACATATCTTTCAGCCGCTTTGTGGTCCAAACTGGCAGCCTCACCATGCCTTATCACACTATGAATGCCACTACGCTTCTTAAATCTCTCAAACCAACCTTTGCTGGCCTTAAATTCACTCACATCACTAGTTGCTGGCATTTTTTTTAATTAAATCGTCATGCAACTTCCTAGCCTTTTCACATATGATCGCTTGAGAGATGCTTTCTCCTGCTATCTGTTTCTCGTTTATCCACACAAATAAGAGTCTCTCAACATCTTCTACCGCTTGCGATCTCAGTTTCGAAAACATAGTTGCATCTTTGGCAAGAACAGCTTCCTTGATTGCCGTTTTCTTGCCCACAATAGTAGCGATGGTTGATTGGGGTTTATTACACAACCTGACCAGCTCAGAGACACGCACTCCACTTTCATACTTAGGAATGATCTCTTTCTTCATCTCCATAGTAATTCTCACCCTTTTTGCTGTAGGGTTGGCACTAGAAACTTTCTTGAGGCCCATGGTGACTTATTTTGCAGGTGCAATCACTACAAAGGCTGTGATAATATGAAATGTTCCAGTGGTATGTTTGGAAGCGACCGCGGTGGCTAGCTTGTAAACACTGACACCCACGGGACAAGTGAGGCGTGCTCAGGCCAAAGTGGACGCGTTTCATATGGAACGAAAAGCGCTGGTCGGGTTTTTAAGCGCTAGTCGAGGCAAAATTTTTGCGTTAAAATGTATCGCTAGTCAGATTTATCATTAATCGATGCCATCGCTGGTTGAGGGTCCACTGTATTGTGTGTACTAGTATGTCAGTTACACAATCCTCACCTGCATACTAGTACATTGGACATGATTAGGAAGAATTTACTAATGATGTACAAGAAGAATTAAATGTGTCCAAGATGAGCAATATACCGTACTGTCAATATAATAATGGCATACACTACCAACAGGTAGATCAGTAAGGAAGGTGTGAAATAGTTAGGCATCTTTATTTCAAAATGTTATGCCTATGTAGTAAGCTTCATCAGTCAGATACAGATATGGCAAATATGGAAACAGCAGAAGCATTGGAGAGCCAAAGATAATGTAATCAACTTCATAGTCTTAAACAGTACATGTATATGGTTTACCTCTTCTTTTTGATTATAATAATAATTAAACAGTGTACTGTATACAAAGTTATAAACACAGTTTGAGATTGATATTCCTAGAGAACTTTTCATTACTGGATTGATTTTCACCTATAGGAGGGCCCCACATATACAGCACCTATTTTTGGTGTTCCAAATTATTGTTGGCTTCAAATTGAGCCATTGTTCATTATGTTCCACCCACTGGTGATTGTCCTAGTGAGTGGAACATAATGAACACTGACTCAGTTTGAAGCCAATGAAAATGTGTAACACTGAAAAGGTGCTGTATATGAGGGGCTCTCCTATTTATGATTTCCTTTTCACTTACAGTGTATGATTCATGTATCAGTCAGTTTGGTAGGGCCCTTGCAGACCCTTCTAACACAACAATGTTTAACAAATCTGTAGCGTCCTCAACCTTCCCATCTATACTCAAGACAGCAAGGGTTACCCCAATCCACAAAGGAGGTGATCCAGCTGACTTGAACAACTATAGACCCACATCAAACTTGCCCTTACTATCCAAGATATTCGAAAAAGTAATACACAAGCGACTTTACTCCTACCTTACATCCAGCAACATACTTAACCCCTGCCAGTTTGGGTTTAGGCCAAAAAAAAATGTACGAATGACGGTATTATACAAATGCTTGAACTAATATACACAGCTCTCGATAAAAATTAATATCCTCTGGGGCTCTTCATCGACCTACAAAAAGCGTTTGATACAGTCGACCACAATCTCTTCCACCTAAAACTGAATCATTACGGCATCAGAGGACATTTTCTTGACTACCTAAACTCTTATCTTAACGACAGACACCAGTAAGTATGTGCAAATGGAGTCAACTCTGCTATCCAACCTGTAGCTGTAGGAGTACCCCAGGGTAGTGTCCTAGGCCCACTCTTTCTCATCTACATCAGTGATCTCCCCAGTACATCCCAACTCCTTAAACCAGCTCTATTCGCAGATGACACTACTTATGTCGACTCCCTTCAGACCCAGCTGTACTTAGAACCACTGTAAACAATGACCTGCTAAAGATGTATGCTTGGATGATGACCAACAAACTCTCTCTCAACATAGACAAAACATACTTCATGCTGTTTGGCAACAGAGCCTTAAATATCCAACTTAACATATTGATAAATGGTTCCCCTATATCAAGACACATGGAGGGCAAATTTCTAGGTCTTTTCCTTGACTGTAATCTTAAATTTCAGTCTCACACCCATCACATAGCCAAGAAAATTTCCAAGATACGATACTGTGTACCACAAACGACACTCCTTACCCTATACCACTCTCTTAATATATCCAACCACCTTAGACCCTTAATAACCCAACAAATAGCTGCTGTGCAGGTGATAACCAGCTCCTGTGCTAGACAGCACACCCCACCACTTTTCAAAAGACTGAACTTGCTAAATATGCAAGACATACACTCATATTATTATGCCTACTACATATACAGAACATTAAACCCCACTGTAAACCCTCCCCTAAAGCTACTCCTTGACAGTTACAACAGAATGCACAGTCACAATACAAAGCATAAGGCACTTTTCAACATCCCTTGAGTCACTCTCAGCATGCAAGAATGCTATGCACTTAAAGGGCCCAAAGATCTGGAACTCGCTACTAGAACAGGTCAAGGATCCCCTGACAATTTATAAATTTAGGACTTTGCTAAAAGATCATATTATCTCTCAATATTAACCAAATTAACCAAAACATCAGCTAATTAGTTTTATTATGTGACCTCTAGGCTTTTAATTCTGCCAATTCATAAAATATTGCCACCTGAACCATTACTTGTAATATAGATTTTGTGTGCAATTTCAAGATTATTTTACAGAACCTTACTCCACCTTACTACCTCACATTTGTATTGAGTTTAAATAAGTTTGTAAAACAGTTAACCAGTACTTCTTGTCTAGTTTTAAGTATAGTTACTATGTACTTATTATCTTGTCTAGTTTTAATTAGTTACCATGTATCAGGATTAGTCTGCCCAAAATGCCCCGGCATGATAGTGGCTATATTTGTACTTAGCAAATCAAAACTGTAATTACACATTGTAACCTTTACAAAGAAATAAACTTTATCTTATCTTATCTTATCTAACTTACTGAATACTTTCTCTCCCCTGCCCACTTAAATTGAGGATAGGGCATGTAAAACTCCAACTTGCTGCCACTAGTTTGTGGTTACTTCTACCCCATTCTGTGCTTTGTGATACAGCACTCAATTTGGTTTGAATTGCTTGTTCATGACTGTAGCCTCTTTTAGTTTAAAAAATTATTTTATGATACCTGTTGGCAGTGGCGGCTCATAACGCCAGTAATTCCTATACTATAGTACCACATCTATTTTTATTCCTATACTATAGTACCACATATATTTTTATTCTCTTATAAATACATTGATAACAACATACAACAGATTTTTCCTGTAATGTATTTGTCAGTTGCAAAATATTTTAGCATTAGGTTGATGAAGTCATACATCTGGCAGTGAGCATCTGGGGGGACTGCAGCTCTGCAGCTCCTTTGGATGAGCCACCACTGCCTGTTGGGATCTTGTGTAAATAATTTTCTTGTGCAAGTACTTTTCAAATATTGTATATATTATCATGTATATCTCTCTCCTCTGCTCCATTCAGTACAAATTTAGGACTTTGAACATTTCCAGTAATTTAAATGCTTTATTATCTCAGTGTGGGCTGTAAAAGATCTTTTCTAGCTCTATCTTTCCTGCCCTGAATAGGGCCATCAACACTGAATAATACTTGAAACAAGAGAGCACAAGCAATTTGAATAGTGTCATCATTGGCACTATTTCCCTTGTTTTGAAAGTTTTCATTATCCACCCCATCATTTTCCTGACTGTTGTGACATTTGCCTTATTGTGTTATTTGAAAGAAAAGTTAGCTGACATTATTACTCTAAGGTCTTTCATGTGCTCCTGTTGTTCTATTTGATGAATTTCTTCAGTTTTGTATACAGTCTCATTTAAATTCTTCATTCTTTCTATATCTAAGCAGCTGGAACTTATCATCATTGCACATCATGTTGTTTTTCACTGCTTATATCTTCATACAATTTTTGTGTTTTCTACCAAGGTAACTTTCACGTTTATTTTGGTGTCATCCGCCAGTGATACAAAACTGTGGTAGATGTTTTTATCTATGCCCCTTACCCTTCATGAATCCTCCCAGCTCCTCTGAAATTACTACTAACTCTTTCAGTAATGATTCTACCATAAACTTTGTCTGACATATTAAGGAGGCTTATCCCTTATTCTTACATTCTCCCTTGTTCCTTTTTTCCTTGTATGTACAAGGGAACTGTGCACCTTCTCTGCTAACCCTTTGATACCTTCCCTTTTTCATGCATACATTGAACAAGCTCACCAACCGCTCCAGCACTATATCTCCACCTACTGTTAACATCTCAACCACTTTACCCCTCCTTTCAATCTGCCCACTGCCTTGTGCACTTTTTGTCCCTTCCACCTCAGGTTTCTTTTCATTCCCATACAGTGTTATTCCCCCATCTCCCGTGCATGAAATCACTGCCTCCCCTTCGTCACCAGCATTGAACATCTCGTCAGAATAAACTCTCCATCTTTCCATAACTTCCACTTTCTCATCTAACATCTCCATCTTTCATTCTTAAATGCTTAGTCCATTTGCTCTCCAGGCTTCCTTACTTTATTGATCTCTCTCCAAAATACCTTCTTATTATCAGCAAAACTTGGAAAATTAGTGATTGTATTAGCATTTAAGAGTTGATAAATACACCAAATAACCAAACAATTCTAGTGTTTCCACCCATCAATTCTGTTGTGATCTCTTCACTTCCATTACCTTGGCTCATATAGGTATAATTACACATCATCTCACACATCACAGCTATATATTAGCTATTTTTGAATACCTATTTCTACTTATTGACCTTACATATTGCATTGTTTCTTACCGCCTTTTGGATTGTTCATTTCACTAGCTATTTTCATCCTCCAATTGTGTTCATTTTTCTTAGGATCTACTGTATTTGTATTTTAACATTCATGTTTTTCTTAAAACAGGACTTTAGAAGAAAAGGAGCAGTGGCTGGAGGCATTTATTAGGGCTATCCATGAGACTTCTCAGCGAAAGTCATCTCTTAAACTACACTTTAATCCAGATCAGCGAACTGTAGATTTAGATCTTGGTCAAAAACAGCCCATGCTAGTTCGCTCAGATTCAGTCACAAAGTGCATGGAATGTGGTAGCCAATTTACCATGGTGCGGAGAAAACATCATTGTCGAGCTTGTGGAGCGGTAAGTTATTAAATATTGCTCTTTTTCGTGTATGCTAAATCATTCTCTTTACTTAAATGAACGGATAAAAATGGTCGTATTGTTAATTTGTGCAATCATACAATATCATTTTGTTACTTTTATGGGGAAGGACTAAACCCATAGGGGAATGGGAGGTTCTTGGGGTTTCATTTAATGACAAAGAAAGTGGATCTAATTCCTTAGATAAAGAACCTTACACCAGCACTAAGGGCCCTTTCCCCCTTCCCAGTGATACAGTTTTTAAAAATCCTTACAAGACATTCAGAGTAATTATCTTTTCATTAAAAGAATCAAAATTAAAAAAAAATTGTTGGTAAAACATAAAAAGTGTGAGGATGAAAAAATTACCAGTGTGCAACCCATTCTCTCAGTGGTCAACATGTACATTGGCATGGATGGCTTGCTGCTTACTCCTTTTTTGCAAATATACAAAATGAGACGGGAAATCCACAGTAGTGACTGTTGATCCAGTAAGAAGGCACTGTACAGCAGAAAGCTACTGCATACAACTTAACCTTCCATATTTACAAGCACCTTGAAAGAATTCTGAGGGAAATAATTATCACCCATCTCTCGGTTCACAATCTACATAATTAAAACATTACAGTAAGATCCTATAAAAAATAAATCTTTCTTCATAAACCTACAGTTCATGAAATGATTACCAACAATATTGAACAAAGCTCTTCAATTGATGGGTATTACATGAACTTTTAAAAAGTATAACACAAAATTCCACACACAGAAAACTCAGAATATCTTTGGTAAAATTCTGAAATAGATAAAACAAAAACTGAAATGCAGTAAACAATTCTTCATTCATGGTGTACAATGTAATGGGATAATATTTTAAGCAGAGTGTTACTAAGAGCCCATTCCAGCAGCAATGTTTGTGACCACAATCAAATATGAGAACAATATTAACATTATGGAAAGGTGAGGAGGGTATTACGTGCATGCAAAATTATCTGCATAAGCTTTATCAATGGCCAGTAGACTGTTAAAGCTATTTAAGACCCTGCTTATGGAATACTGTACTGTGTAATACACATTGTTTACCAAATTGTAAACATTGCTACCAACAAAAAGGAAAGGATCTTGGTATAGTAGTCTACTGTCATTAAAAGAAGTGGAGGGCATTTAAAAATATATTTGTTTGCCCCCATATTGACTATTGTCAAGTAAGAAGGTCATACAGGGAAAATGTATCACTTGAAAAAGTTCCACTCTGCCATAAAAGTTATCCTAGAAATATATCAGATCATTTACCATTATATACAGCTCTTCAAATAAGACATTAAAAGGTTGATCTCAAACACATTTATAAATCCTGACCCAGATTTAGTCAGGACAAATATAAATTAGCATGTTAAGAGACATTTCTTTCTTTCAATGCACCGGCTGTATCCCACCGAAGCAGGGTGGCCCAAAAAGAAAAACAAATGTTTCTCTTTATAAATTTAGTAGGGAGAAGGTGTTACTTGCCCTTTGCTCCCAGCATTTTAGTCACCTCTTACAACATGCATGGCTTACGGAGGAAGAATTCTGTTCCACTTTCCCATGGAGACATGTAAGAAATAAAGATGCAAACATCAAGCTTAACAAACTGCAGAACAGGACAGATTATGGGAAATTCTTCTCCCAGGGATTAATTTAACATACTAATCTACCCACCAAAGCTATCAAAAACAGCGTAGTTCAGAATCCATCCTTAAAAAATTTATCAGGCAAGAATAGGCTTTACGTTCACTCCATAAATATTAGAGATGGTGATATTATTATTACGTATTATTATTACAATCAGAACTAAATGCTAAACCCATAAGGGTCATACAGCACTGACTAGAGATGGTAGCTGACAGATAAATACATGTATGGTAAATATCTTTTCCTCCTTCCCAACCAGTCATATTTAACCCTTTCAGGGTCCCCAGGCCCTCTCAGAGACTTGTTCTCAGGGTCCCCAAATTTAATAAAAAAAATTTTTTTTTCTTGTGAAAAGATAGAGAATCTTTTCCCGATCATAATGACACCAAAAGTGTGAAATTTGATGGAAAACTTACGGAATTATGCTCTCGTGAAGTTAGCGGTCTCAATGATGTTTACGCATCGACGATTTTGCCCACTTTGAGCCCTATTTTCGGCCAGTTACAGTGTACTAGTCAACAGAAATCATAACTATTTTGCTAGAACTCCATTTTTTCTATCGAATGAGAACAAGAAACCACCCATTTACCGATTTCAACTATCCAATAAAGTGGTCAGAATTTAGCAATTTTGCCAATTTCACACAAATTTCAAAAGATGCCAATTTCCAAATAGGGTCCAGAATAAACAAGAAAGACATTCCTGGCACTAAAATAACAAGTTCTCTGTTCGTTAGTCACATCCCCAGGCCCCTGTTATATTTCTTTGGTTTTCCACTTTGAATTTTTATTCTTACAAAAAATAGAAGATTTACTGTTATGCAGACTACTGCATTAGTGTAGAAATGGTATAAATAATATCAGCGCACTTGTGAAAGAATATTAGACTCGCCAGTTGACGTGTATTGGACGCTTAGCATGATTTGTTTACTTTTGAACTTTGGTAAAAATCGAACATTTCTGCTAGTTTGAGCTCAATTTCAAGGTACTTTTCATTGTAAAACCAGTCAAAACCATCTCAATTTCTGTAATATGTCTTCCATTCTATAAAATGAGACCAGGAAAACTAGAATATGTACAACAATTAATACCATATGAAAATACAGTGCAAAGTTGCTGTTTTAATCCAAAAACACTGTCAGTTTTTTTTTTTCCTCATTACGTACTGTGTGCTGAAGGATTTTTTTTATACTGCACACACTGACCACGTAGACCTATTCTTTCATATGTAGGCCTACCAGCTTCTCTCACTAGATTTGAGGGCGCTAGAGTTTATGCGTACTAGTACGTCAAAAACCCTTGGGCATAAGCCGTGCTAGTACGGCCGAAACCCTGAAAGGGTTAAGAATAACCTAAAGAGACTGGGCACCACTGTCTTTACTCATCTTGTTTCCCTATATAAGTCTCTTGATGTTTTCTGTCACTTCATGTTAATCAGGCATAATATATGAATGGATGTGCTGAGAGTTGAACCTAAGATTAGTTTTTCTTTGAAAAGTGCTTTGAAAAACTATTTTACTAAAAAAAATTTGTTTAACTTCATTTTATTTTGTTATGGAATCCTCTAATAATCTTGACTGTTCTATAGGTTGTGTGTAGTAAGTGTTCAAGCTTCAAAGCATCAGTTGCCTATGAGAGTGGTAAGAGTGTTCGAGTTTGTCGTCCATGCCATGCAACACTGCAAGAACTTTCATCGTCCACAGCAACACCTTCACCTGAGATTGATGAGCCAGATGAATGCTCTTTATACAGTACCAAAGAACCACCAGATTTACCTTTTAGAAATAGAGGGGTGTTAGAGGTGAGTTTCACACTTAAAAAATATTATATTGTACCCATATTGTATTCCTGGCTTAAGTAGTGTGATTAACTGAAATTTGCACCCCCTACCCTTTTTTTTTTTTAACCTCTGTCCCCCACACACACAAATATGCAATCCTTTCCCTTCCAGATTTGCAGGAAGTTACTTTGATGTAGGTATTGTGAATAAAAAGATCCACAAATTATACAAAATTATATTTGTATTACTAATTTTGTTTCTGATTTGGGCTAATTTTAGGTTATTCATAGAACTCTTCTTTTTTAAGTGTTTCTCTAATCTGATTTATAAAAATGGTCAGACAGCGCAGAGAAATTTAGGTTTGGAAAAGCTTTACAGTGAAATCTGAACAAAATCCTATGGTTAGTTTTCAATTTAGGGGTCATGCACTAAGCTTAAAAAGAGGAGCACTACAAGAAAATTCTCAAATAAATTAATTTATTTACAGGTTGACCGTCATTGACAACATGAGCTAAATGAATTCTATAAATTAGACACCCCACGCATTAGGCAGAGGGTGACTGTATTGTGCAGTACATCACCCTTGTGACTGTACTGTGCAGTACATCACCCCAATAACTGTACTGTGCCATACATCACCCCAATAACTGTACTGTGCCATACATCACCCCTGTGACTTCTGAGCAGTACATCACCCTTGTGCCTATACTGTGCACTACATCAGCCCTGAAAAATAGTACAGTTCTCTCTATTAACCCTTTGACTGTTTTCGACGTATAAATACGTCTTACGAGCCAATGATTCTGACGTATATATACTCAATAATTCTAGCGGCTTCAAATCAAGCGGGAGAAAGCTGGTAGGCCCACATGTGAGAGAATGGGTCTGTGTGGTCAGTGTGCACCACATAAAAAAAATCCTGCAGCACACATTGCGTAATGAGAAAAAAAACTGATCGTTTTTTTGGAATAAAACGCCGACTTTGAGGTGTATTTTCGTATAGTATTTATCGTTGTATTCGCGTTTTCATGGTCTTAGGTGATAAAATGGAAAACATATTACAGAAATAGAGATGATTTTCATTACTTTGACGATGAAAACGACCTTGAAACTGAGCTCAAAGTAGCGGAAATGTTCGATATTTACCAATGTTCAGGAGTAAATAAATCACACCACACGTCCAATACACGTCAACTGGGGAGTCTAATATTCTTTCACTAGTGCACTGATATTATTTATACCATTTTTACAATAATACAGTAGTCTGCATAACAGTAAATTTTGTATTTTTTTGTATGAATAAAAAATCAAAATAGAAAGCAATAATAATATAAGAGGGCCTAGAGATGTGACTAATGAACAGAGCATATGTTATTTTAGTGCCACGAATGTCTACCTTGTTTATTCTGGACCCTATTTTGAAATTGGCATCTTTTTTATTTTGCGTGAAATTGGCCAAATTGCCAATTTCTGACCACCATATTGGGTAGTCCAAATTAGTAAATGGGAGGTTTCTTGTACTCAGCTGATAGATAAAATGGAGTTCTAAAGAAATAGCTATGAGTTTGGTCAACTGGAACAATGGAATTGGCTGAAAATAGGGCTCAAAGTCGGCGAAATCGCCGATACACATATGTCGCCGAGACCGCTAACTTCGCGGGAGCATAATTCCATGAGTTTTCGAGCAAATTTCGAACTTTTGGTGTCATTACCATCGGGAAAAGATTCTCTATCATTTCATAAGAAAAACTAATTTTTTTTTTTTTTCAAAAATTGAGCGACATAGATTGACAGTTTCAGAGAGGGGCCTGAAACAGTCAAAGGGTTAAATGTTTGCAGGATGCAGGGGCTATGCACTTTTCCTGATTACTCATCACCATCATCATTGTCAAACAAAAAATCTGGTATTTTTTATCCTGAAAATTCCAAACTATTATTATTTTTATTCTCAATTTACATCTATTTTTTTTTTATTTTTTATTAACATATCGGCCTATTCCCACCAAGGCAGGATGGCCCGAAAAAGAAAAACTTTCATCATCATTCACTCCATCACTGTCTTGCCAGAGGGGTGATTTACACTAGTGTTTATAAAACTGCAACATAAACACCCCTCCTTCAAAGTGTAGACACTGTACTTCCCATCTCCAGGACTCAAGTCCAGCCTGCCAGTTTCCTTGAATCCCTTCATAAATGTTACTTTGCTCACACTAACAGCACATCAAATACAGTGGACCCTCGACTAACGCTATTAATCCGTTCCTGAGAGCTCATCGTTAGTCAAAATAATCGTTAGTCAAGTTAATATTCCCCATAAGAAATAATGGAAATCAAATTAATCCGTGCAAGACACCCAAAAGTATTGAAAAAAAAATTTTAACACATGAAATATTAATTTTAATACACACAAACTGAAGAAGACATGCACAGTTACATGACACTTACCTTTATTGAAGATCTGGTGATGATTGATGGGATGGGAAGAGGGGAGTGTGTTGATGGTCTTAGTGTTTAGAAGGGGAATCCCCTTCCATTAGGACTTGAGGTGGCAAGTCCTTTTTTGGGGTTACTTCCCTTCTTTTAATGCCACTAGGACCAGCTTGAGAGTCACTGGACCTCTGTCGCACAACATATCTGCCCATAGAGGCCTGTACCTCCCGTTCCTTTATGACATTCCTAATGTGTTTCACAACATTGTCAGTGTCACCATTAAACACTTGTTCAGGTTTCAGTCCTTCACTGTCTATGTACTCCTTGAATTCCTGCACATATTTTTCAGCTGCTTTTTGGTCCAAACTGGCAGCCTCACCATGCCTTATCACACTATGTATGCCACTATGATTCTTAAATCTCTCAAACCAACCTTTGCTGGTCTTAAATTCACTCACATCACCACTAGTTGCTGGCATTTTTCTAACTAAATCGTCATGCAACTTCCTAGCCTTTTCACATATGATCGCTTGAGAGATGCTATCTCCTGCTATCTGTTTTTCGTTTATCCATACCAATAACAGTCTCTCAACATCTTCTATCACTTGCGATCTCAGTTTCGAAAACATAGTTGCACCTTTGGCAAGAACAGCTTCCTTGATTGCCGTTTTCTTGGCCACAATAGTAGCGATGGTTGATTGGGGTTTTGTGTACAGCCTGGCCAGCTCGGAGACATGCACTCCACTTTCATACTTAGTAATGATCTCTTTCTTCATATCCATAGTAATTCTCACCCTTTTTGCTGTAGGGTTGGCACTAGAAGCTTTCTTGGGGCCCATGGTGACTTATTTTGCAGGTGCAATCACTAAAAAGGCTGTGATAATATGAAATGTTCCGATTGTATGCTTGGAAGCGACCGCGGTGGCTGGCTGGCTTGTAAACACTGGCCAGAAGTGGACGCGTCTCAGACGGAAGGAATAGTGTTGGTCGAGTTTTTTAGCGCTAATCGAGGCAAAATTTTTGCGATAAAATGTATCGCTAGTCAGATTTATCGTTAATCGATGCCATCGCTGGTCAAGGGTCCACTGTATTAAAAACCTTTTGTCTCCATTCACTCCTATCAAATACGCTCACGCATGCTTGCTGGAAGTCCAAGCCCCTCGCACACAAAACCTTCTTTACCCCCTCCCTCCAACCTTTCCTAGGCCGACCCCTACCCCGCCTTCCCTCCACTACAGATTTCTACTCTTGAAGTCATTCTGTTTTGTTCCATTCTCCTGCATGTCCAAACCACCTCAACAACCCTTCCTTAGCCCTCTGGACAAAAGTTTTGGCAATCCCACACCTCCTCCTAACTTCCAAACTATGAATTCTCTGCATTATATTCACACCACACATTGCCCTCAGACATGACATCTCCACTACCTCCAGCCTTCTCCTCACAGTACGATACGTACTCTCATACATTCCCCTCTTTGCTTCCAAGGACAAAGTTCTTTATCTCCACAGACTCCTAAGTGCACCGCTCACCCTTTTCCACTCATCAGTTCTATGATTCACCTCATCTTTCATAGACCCATCTGCTGACACATCCACTCCCAGATATCTGAATACATTCACCTTCTTCATACTCTCTCCCTCCAATCTGATATCCAATCTTTCATCACCTAATCTTTTTGTTATCCTCATAACCTTACTCTTTCCTATATTTACATATCCTACCAAATTCATCCACCAACCTCTGAACTTCTCTTCAGAATCTCCTAAGAGCACAGTGTCAATCAGCAAAAAGCAACTGTGACAACTCCCACTTTGTGTTTGATTCTTTATCTTTTAACTCCACACCTCTTGCCAAGACCCTCGCATTCACTTCTCTTACAACCCCATCTATAAATATATTGAACAACCATGGTGACATCACACATTCTTGTCTAAGGCCTACTTTTACTGGGAAATCATCTCCCTCATTCCTGCATACTCTAACCTGAGCCTCACTATCCTCATAAAAATTCTTCACTGCTTTCAGTAACCTACCTCCTATGCCATACACCTGCAACATCTGCCACATTGCCCCCCTATCCATCCTGTCATATGCCTTTTCAAAATCCATAAATGCCACAAAAACCTCTTTAGCCTTATCTAAATGCTGTTCACCTATATGTTTCACTGTAACACTTGGTCTACACACCCCCTACCTTTCCTTAAAGCCTCCTTATTCATCTGCTATCCTACTCTCCATCTTACTCTTAATTCTTTCAATAATAACTCTACCATACACTTTACCAGGTATACTCAGCAGACTTCTTTCTTTCAACACACTGGCCGTATCCCACTGAGGCGGGGTGGCCCCAAAGGAAAAATGAAAGTTTTTCCTTTTACATTTAGTAATATATACAGGAGAAGGGGTTACTAGCGCCTTGCTCCCGGCATTTTAGTCGCCTCTTACGACACGCATGGCTAACGGAGGAAGAGTTCTGTTCCACTTCCCCATGGAAACGCAGCAGACTTATTCCCCTATAATTTTTGCACTCTCGTCCCCTTTGCCTTTATACAAAGGAATTATGCACACTCTCTGCCAATCCCTAGGTACT